ATCTAGAAGTTTGAGATAGGTTGCTGCAAATATCACAAGCCAAGAGAGTTTATTAGCAGACAGTCACTGGTCAGCATTATCTAGAATTATATGAGAATGCTCTAGATCAGTAGTTTTCAACCTTTTTTTCATTTGTGGACCCCTAAAAATTTTCGAATGGCGGTGTGGGCCTCTATGTAAATCTTATACATAGTCTGCAGATCCCCAGGGTTCCGCAGACCACAGGTTGAAAACCGCTGTTCTATGGTAACAACCTTTTGCAGACCCCTTAGACGTAGTCTACAGACCTCCAAGGCTCTGCAGACCACAGGTTGAAAATCACTGCTCTAGACTGAATTGCCCACCTTTACCCCTCTATATTATTCTCCCTATGTATTGCCTGTTTCTTGAAATGGTTTATATTTATTTTCTTACTGTGTATGTGTAGTGACTTTACATATCTGGGAGTCCATATTTGCCCTGAAGGCAATCTAGCTCTAGTGTGAAACTGTTTTCCAGTGTTGTTGAGGGCACTTCAGGAGTAATTCCTCCTTTCCCCCTGCTGAGACACATAATTTATAAGTGACTATGCATCACATCCATGCAAGCTGCTAGACATTAATTCTGCATAAATAAGGCTGTAAACACATTTCATTTCTTGCTCTGGTTTCACCTTCCAAGAAAATATAAAACCAAGAATAAAATAGGGCAGGAACATGTAACTGAGGCATAGTACACACACACTCCATAGAGGTTCTTTAATATCATACATTCCAACTGTTGCATTGAATTAGGACTGCTCTTATGTGTAGCAATGACCTTGCAATAGAGTGGGTAAGGGATATTTCATAATGCACCTCAATAAAGTTGAAAGCAACAGCACATTAGTCTTTGTAAAGGTCAGTCTTTTAACACAGTCCATTTTGTTGCCTATTTTGATGTTGTGTCTGCATTTTTAATGGAGTTTTGTATGAGAGGACATTAAGGATTATGATTGCACATCTAATACATTCTTGCATTATACAGTCTGCAGCATATCAAATCATGCTTCTGTGGCCCAATCTTTCCAGCTTGCTGACCAAACATATTATTTCAGAAAGGTCAAGAGGCTCCAAATCAATACTGTGGAATGCACTCCCTGCCTTGTTCTGTATTTGCTTTGGGCCACTCAGGCAATGCAAATGAAGCTAAAACCATCCACAAGTCTTCTGCTGCTGATCTCCCCTATCAACGAGAGTCCCAGTAGGCACATATCTTGGATGTAGCTAGTCTTAACATGTCCCTCTCTGCAGCCAATGGTGCAATGGGCATTTTGGAAAGGGGTGTATTGGAGGTAAGAAGGAAAGTGTCCAAAGCACATTTAGGCTATCCCTAGCCCACATGTGTTCTCAGGGGTCAGTTGGTAGCTGGTACAAGTTAGAACAATCCCCAAGCAACTTGTTGTTGCTTCTTCTCTTTTCCCCTTTCACTCAGCTACCCAGGATAGCTGTATGGGGAAGGGGTACTTTGCTAGCCAGTCAGTTCTTGTCTCTCTCTCCCTTGGGTGCCTACAGCCCAGCAAAGAATCAGGAGACAGAGCAGCCAGAATAGTCTTAGGTGATGGCTTGGGATTGCTTTCCAATTCATAGTCAAATATACTTTTTCTTCTTAACACAGTCAGCTTTGAGGGTTACAAGTGGTTGCTGAGCTACAACTTGGACACCTCTGTAATCCATAAGATAAAATTTCGGGAATGTCACTCTGTGTGTCATTCTGAAGCCTACAGTATCTGTAGTCACCTGATCTGGTCCAGAGACCCTGGGCTTAACCTGTCCAGAGGGACCAGCTACCCTGTGACAGTTAGTGTCCAAAATAAAGTTTTAACTATGTCACGAAACGAGCAATGGTCCTGTAAAGCTTCTGCTGAGCTCTCTATCAAGTCGTGTTTACTCTCAAGGAGTTAGTTTCCAAAAGAGCGGTAGAAGTATTAGTATCATTTTTGCTATTGCACTTCATCAGAGAGCAGTGGCTTTTTAAGCAGAACTATTAAGTGGTGCTTTGTACCTTTAAAAATTAAATAATAAAAATTCAGAGGCAAAAGAGGCAGGATTCCGGAGGCAGGATGACCACAGTGGCTGGCTACAAGCATAGGTGCCGGAACTAGCAGTGTGTGTGGGGGGTGGGGGGCTATTGCACCCTCTGAGTTGAAGTGGTTTCCTTACATCCAGGGTTTACAGTTTTGTTCAATAGCTCTCAGCCCCCCCACTATAAAAAATTGTTCCAGCGCCCTTGGCTACAAGTGAGTCAAGTGTGGCACTGTCACAGCGTTTAACTGCCCCTCTCAGAAGACGGGTCCCACTGTGAAGATGTGAGAAATAGGGAGCTGAACATGCATCTAAAACATCGATTATGAAACCACTAAACTGTCAAGGTGCAAGTGGTGGCATCTGGTGGTGTCTGAATGAAAGACAAACTGAATACATTACAACAGAGAGAGAGAAGTCTAGCTTGTTCTTAATACTGTCTTTGCAAAAACAGAAATAAACCAGTCTGAAAGATACCCATTTCCATATGGGACTTCACGTAAGCTGCTTTTCTAACTCCCTCCCCCAAAATCTATGTAATTGGTAGATGAATGTAGTGGTTAGGCTGAAAGACTAGCTGTGCAGTGGTTTCTATTCAAGGCCTCTTTATTGCCAAAATAATCTGATGCAGCTGTGTCAATATTTTATAAACCACAGACTTGTTAATATCAACTGAAAAATCATAATAGCCACAAGCTGACTGAAAAGAAAGAGATCACTTTGTGCTCATAGAAGGAATGGCTATTGATGGATGGAATGACTATCAATCTACAGAGATGTCCTCCAATGGTAATCAAATGCCCCTAGATCTACTGTAAACATTTATGAACACCAAACTTTAGGGTTTTAAATTAGCAGTTTCCTGGTCTGTGTTGAAGTGCAATTGAGCCGTCCCTTAAGAAATACGTAGGTCTTGCATGTTTTAGGTGTTTGTAAGTCTACTTAAAGTGCTTTAACTTATCACTGATGTATTAATACCAAAATATTCTGTACAAGGCAGGTGACAGGTTGTTATTTCACGGCCTGTAGAAACAGGAGTTGCTAAAAACAATAACTCATTATTTCCAGTGTTATCTCTCCCAAAGCTATCCAGTGGCTCTTTAAATTAAGCTGCTCATTTGCACATTTAATTTTGAAAAGACTGGTTTGGGTTGTTAAGTGTGTACCAACTGGCTTTTGAATTCCTGTAGGATTACCAAGTTCATTTAGTAATCGATCTACAGTACATTTATTGTGTATTGTACAGTAACTCTTAATCCTGAATGTTTTAATTGAAATTTAATTAGATAGTTATGGTCTGATAATGAATAATTGATTATTAAAGACACATTTATTGATGCTCACCAAAACTATTGTATGTGGTGTTTGTATGCTTCTATTACTGCACGCAAGCTTCAGTATATTTATTTGTAATAACAACATTAACAGGCAATAAGCATCTGATTACGTGATTTCAAACTTTTATTTGAGAGCCTTAATTTTAAAAGCATTGCCAGCTATCCTAATACTATAGATATTTTTTCATCTTCTCTTGCAAATGGATTGTGTGTATGTAGTATTTTTAAAGAAAGTTATTTTAAAATAGCTATACACTGTTATAACATGCAAAAATAGTGGTGTGAGAAAATCATGCCACTGATTTGTGCAAAACAATTTCCTTATCCAAATTGCTGCTCATCTCATCAGTATCATTTCCAGAAGGAGGAGAGGATAAAGACAGGAAAAGACATTGTAAGCATATGTTAATTGATTGATCAGCCACCAACTGCTGACTTCATTACCTATGGTATTAATTGCAATTTTCACAACTGACAGCCTTTCAAAAAGGATGTGGGGAAATGCACAAACTAAACAAATTATTAGTAATCACCTGCCCCATAGTGTTTTTACAATAACTAGTTCTGATCCCTTTGTTTACATAAAGAACATAAAGGTGCCCATTTAAATACAAAAGAAATAATATCTGAAAACATGCTCCACCCAGTTGGCATACATAAATCTGTGAGCCAGGAATTCTGAGTTTCTAGTCATAGCTTTGACACTGGCTCACCCTCTCTGCTTTAATTAGGTCACTTAGGGGCAAATTTTCAAAGGTATGTAGGTGTCTAAAGATGCAGATGGGCACCTAGTGGGATTTTCAAAAGTGCTTGAGCAGGTGCCTAACCTGCTTTGATGCTTTTAAAAATCACATTTGGAGCTTGTCTGTATATTTAAGTGTCTAAATACCTTTGACAATGTGGCCCTTAACATCTCTGTATCTCATTTTTACCATCTGCAAAATCTACCTCATAGGGTATTGCAGGGATAAACTAGTTAATATTCGTAAAAGGTGAAAAGCTAAATAAAAATATTGACCGTGGGCTGGACTCCGCTCTCATTTACAGTCATTCTACATTGGTATAACTACTGATTTCAATTGACTTATCATGATTTGCATTTGTGTGAGAGAGAGGAAAATCAGGCCTGAAAACATTCCACTAATTCATTCTCCAGCATTTAGTCAAAAGTAAAAACAGAACCTTTGTATACTGGATCTGACTTACCTAGGATATATGCTTTGTCTGAGTAACACAAGTGGAACGCTTTTGTCTTATTAGATGTCTTTTGTAACAATGCAGTCTGTCGTCTGTTTATATGGTGCCAATGACCATTAAATTAAACACAGTATTTGAGGATAGCATAAAAAATTTAATCCAAAGTACTCTTGCTGTATTTCATTTCAGCCTTGGGCATATTTGGAGAATGTTTTCAATGTGATTTCCCCACCATCTCTTCCTATCACAACTTCTTCCTTTCTTCAACTTCTGGTTTTGCAAGTAGGGTTACATGGAGAGGATGGACTTGCAATTGGCTCTGAAAACCTCCAGAGTTATCCATTATCCCTGTATCCTCCTACATATGTGTGTTCAACCTGCCTTAACACATACACTCCTGTTTTAACAGACACTTTCTTTACAGGTCGACTGAACTGGTGGTCCACAGTGTGTACAAGTTGCAAACGTCTTCTTCCATTGGCTACAACAGGTGATGGAAACTGCCTTTTACATGCTGCCTCATTAGGTAAGGAAATGTCTGGATTAGCTGCTTCTGCTACATAAAACCTTTTCTTGAAGGTTTGCTACTTTCCTCTTTTTCCGTCATAGGTTTTTCGGGGCAAAGGCTTTTTGCTAAAAGGGTGCCTCTTTGGGTACATCCACTCTGCAAATAAAACCCTGCAGCAGCTAGTCTCAGAGTCCAGGTCAACTGACTTGGGCTCACGCTTTGGGGCTAAAAATAGCAGTATAGATGTCTCGCTTGGGCTGAAGCCCAGACTCTGAAACCCAGCAAGTAGGGAGGGTCTCTTTTTAGCCCTGTAGTGTGAGGCCCCCATGCCTGAGTCATTTGACCTGGGTTCTGAGACACTCGGTCACTGTTTTTTTTTTTCTTTGTTTCTGGAGGATGGTTTTGCAGTGTAAACATACCTTAATATAAGGCTGATACACTCTATTCTTCAGCTTCTCCCTGTAGCAATGTTTGCGATAAGTATCTATCTATACATGATGAAGGTAGAAGTTTTCAGCTTGCTTTGTAAAATGGAGTTGAAACAGCAAGATAAAACCTAGCCTCTAAGCTAGTGTACATTTTCTATAATATGGCCTGTTGCCTTCTGTGGGATTTTGGCTGCATCATAAACACAGGTCCAAGCCCATAATCCTCTGGTGTTTGTTAAACGTGCATCCTACTATCATTAAGACTACAAATGCAAATATTCTTGGCGTGTCCCGTCTTTGGAAAGGATAATTGTATGGGTAAGAGAGATTAAGGTAAATTACATTCTTTCCTATGTATTTACCATTGATTCAAAGCCACTGCAAACTTTTGTACAAAGGGCACCAAAAGAAAGCCCTGTGACTACACACTTGGAAGTGTAATATGCTGTTTATTTCCTAATAATCGCCTTTGTGCTGAAATAGTACACCAGTAAGACTCAAAAAAGTGACCTTTCTCTTAAAAGTATGGTTATTTTGTAATCATTTTGCAATGTCATTTTGTTTTTGAAATATAAAGTAAGAAATAACAAGAAAACAGATTTGAATACTCTCAAAGTGTCTTTTATAAATAGCGTTGTTTATCCAATTCATCTTCGCTACAAGGGATTGTAGATTATTTACAGCAATTGGTCGGGGCATTTTGACTTGCACACTTTGGCATTAAATATTTTTGTTCCAATGGCTGGCAGCATAATAAATTAAACATGGCTGCCTACGGGTCCTTGTCATGGTGAGATCTCTGACTCTTTTATTATAGGTTACTATTCTCACGTACATGACGACATATATTTTTGTTATCTTAAGAGTTTGGAAGCCTATGGCTGCTTGTATTTTTAGGCTTCCAATAGTCATGAGTGCCTGACTCTTTACTGGAACTTAAATACCAATGGGCATGTATCATCTCTGCAGTATGACAGTGCAAGCCTGTGGGTGTCTGTGTTTGAGATAGCCACAAGTGCCTGTCGTTATCCTTAGCACTCTGATGCCTGCACATTCAATTAACTCTGGAGCTAAAATGGAGACCTGTGCATTGAATGTTCATTTCCTTATAGCAACGTTGAAGTCATGCAAAAACAAAATTCCAGACAACTCAAAGCCGCAGTCATTTCTTAACCAGACTTTAAACTTTGCTAGAATTCAGCATTATTCTTCATTAGCCTATTTAGGCTGACAATTTTCATTAGGAAAGCTTGAAAGTAATGAATAGGAATCATTAGCTAGTAAGATTTATAATGTGCACTGCTTTTTTTTTTTTTTTGAGCAATGTTATTTGTGTTTTATGCAACTGATTGTTTCTATTTCATAACTGGATCTTTGTTATTTGCCGCATTTTTGCGCTCTAGGGATGTGGGGATTTCATGACAGGGACCTTGTGTTACGTAAAGCACTCTACACCATGATGAGAAGTGGAGCTGAAAGGGAAGCATTGAAGAGAAGATGGAGATGGCAACAGACACAACAGAATAAAGAGGTCTGTGTGGCCTAGAGAGTTTAAACCATTGTGTAGCTGATATAATTTAGGGCAACATTTTTATTCCTACCTCTGAGGTTCTATGAAAAAGCTTTTGCTCTTACCAAATTCCTTGTGCATCTATTTTTCACACATAGACAAATATTTCTGCACGAAAATCAGGAATGCAAAAGCAGATGAATGTATACACCCAAAAAGTTATATGTGCATAGTTCTTACACCTACAAAATCTAAGGCTGGTTTCGGGTCACCTGAACATTTGGGGCTCCAAATTTAAATACATTATTTATGGAGGTGTCAAACGATTAAAGAATAATCACAATTCATTGTGAGATTTAAAAAAAGGTTTTTTTTACATAACTGCACTCAAAAACAGAACAATGTAAAACTTTAGAGCCTACAAATTGAAGAATGAAGGGCCATACGAATGTTTAGCGCATCTGGCACATAAATACTTTGCAACACCAGCTACAACAGTGCCATGCAAATGCCTGTTCTCACTTTCAGGTGACATAAATAAGAAGCAGGCAGCATTATCTCCCGTAAATGTAAACAAGCTTTTTTTGTCTGAGTGATTAGTTGAACAAGAGGTAGGACTGAGTAGACTTATAGGAGGTGAATTGAAAAATACTAGTTCTTTAATTTCTTTTTTACAGTCCAAGTATTTGCAATCAAAAATAATAATATAAAGTGAGCACTATACACTTTGTATTCTGTGTTGTATTCTGAAATCAATATATTTGAAAATGTAGAAAAACATCCACAAATATTTATAATAAATGTAAATTGGTATTCTATTATTGTTTAACAGTGCAATTACAACTGTGATTAATTGTGACTATTTTTGTAATCTAGTTAATTTGTTTTGTGTTAATTGCATTCATTAACTGTGATTAATTGACAGCCCTAATTATCTACTGAAAATTACATTACAAAAAAATGAAAACTGTAGATTAAATCATGAAAGAAAAGAAAATGTCAGTTAAGGACCAAATCTCTACCCTGAGAAAATTGACCATATTTTGAAATATGTATTTTAAATGTAATCCTCAAGTACAGTAAAATTAGACACCTCACTTTTTCCCCCAAAAAATTTCATATCCAAATATGTGCTGGAAAAAGCTGTGTTTGAGGGCAAAGCCTTCCCCCATTGGTATGGAGGACCAGGCCTGCTGCAGATCCACTAGCAATGGGGCCAGATATCTGAAGACCTCATATGGGCTCCACTATTGCAGAGGGTAGGAGTGATCAGCAGTGGAGTTTGCCAAGGAAGGAGTAGGGCCTGTGTTTTCTGCAACTAAGCAGATCCACCAGCTATTTACATTCATACTCATGCAGCAGAGGCACAGAAACCACACAGGCTACTGCAGTCTCTGATGCAGTGGCTGCTGTTGAGCAGCTCTGCTAACGATATTTTATCGCCTTCCAAAGTTCCCATGGAACCGTTTCACACCCAATGCTCAAACCTTTCCAACAGCACGCAACTCGGTTTCCCAAGCTGTGTGCGGGAGCAGGGTTTGCCCTTTTGTGCATGCCTCTGCTCACCTGACCAAAGTGAGGAGGTTAAGCAATTCCTCCAACGTAGTCACGACAAATGTGAAATCATGTGGCCAATTGCTGAACACAAAGATAGTTAGTTTTAGGATTTAGTTCTTGCCTTTATCTATACACATCCAAAATTTTAAATAGAGAGTCCCTTTCATTTAAACAAAAAGTCATTCTGCCTGTGGTAAGGGGATACAGAATTCTTCTTTTATATCAGCTCATCAGGGAGCTGCTGGCGTTGCTTTGCTACCTGGAAAGCACAGGGGAGCAGTACCAGTTCTAATTAGGCTGTTGAAAGAAAATAATCAAGAAAACTCTAGAAATTTGAGTAATAGCACCTTTGGATAGCTTAGCTGCTGTCGCATTCAAAGCTGTGAGGTGCTGTTCTAAGGTTCGTTCTTCTTTTCTCTCAGTGTGAGAATTTATGCTCACATGGCATTCCATCAACGGCAAGACATAGTGCAGATGAATTAAATCAATAATTTTCCAAGTACTCCAGCATAAATGTTGGCCGTACACAGCTAGCTGAACATGACCAAATAGTTTTGGCTGGTATTTGTGCTATTCATATATGTATTTTCCCTGCTTGCTATTGGCAGCAGCACTAATGAGAGCTGCAGAACTGAATTATAGCACTAATAAGAATCTTATATGCCCTTCCTGACGCTGTCAATGGGAGACAGTTGAGCTATCAGCGGCTAGGCATCCTCTAGTCTGCCTGAAAACACAATGGACCGAGGTGCCTACCTGCCCTTTGTGCCTTCGGAAATCTCTCCCTCCAATCTCCAGGGGAGCGGGAGAGAAGGTGTCACAAGTACTGCTGTCCCTGGACTATCAAGAAAGATCTTCAAAGTAGAGCAAGGCAAAAAAATTTCAATAGTTTAGTCACCAAAAGTGCCATATCGGTCAACCCAAAACTATTTGCAAATTTGTGTCGAGTTCATGAAATAAATTTGACTGAACTGAAAAAATGTTAGTAATGCCAAAACAAAACATTTCATTTTGACCTGACAAAAAATGTCAGGCATTTTGACAAAAGCAAAGGAGGACTAAATTCACAAAATGTTGGTGGAGGGAAGAAATTCCCTCGTAACATTTAGCCACTGGTTTTGGCACTCTTCTGAGATGTGGGAGACCTAAATTCAACTCCCCCTCCCCCACCTCACCTCCTTTGTCTGATATGGAGAAAGAATTTGAACTTAAGTGTCCTATGTTACTGGTGAGTGCCCTCACCACTATGAGAGAATTTGGTATGTGGCTTTCTCAGTCTCTCCCATTAAAGCTGTTTACATGTTGTATCAAGTAGTCATCGGAGTGAGGACTTGAACTTGGATTTCCTATACGCTAGCTGAATTCCCTATCCACCAAGCTATAGAGTTACTCTCACCCGCTCACTCTTTCACTGGCCCATGAAGCAGTCATTGTCATCATGAATTACTATGAATTTCCACTATGAGTGACAATGAATAGTCATTGGGTCAGTAATAAGATCAAAGATCCACAATGGCACCGGAACCTGAGAACCAAAATGGAAGGAATTTCACATGCATGTGAGATGACTGGATGCCTAGCTACCCAGTTAAACAATTGCTTGGGGCACTTTTGCAGAAGCGAATTGAGAGCCTCCAGCTGAAAATTTTATTCAAAATGTAGTAGCCGTCTTTGATCCGTTTTGATAATTTGGTGCTGTTTGATTTGAAAAAGTGATACTGTAATATCCCAGGGCAATTGCGTGTCATATTCAAATAGCACTAAAAATGAAACACAGCATATGTTAGTGGGTCATGATGTCTACTGTCTGAGACTGGTGATATTTTTAACATCCTATCCTGAAATATACTCTTCTCTCCCCTAGTCGGGTTTAGTTTATACAGAAGAAGAGTGGGAACGGGAATGGAATGAACTGCTTAAACTGGCTTCAAGTGAACCTCGCACTCATTTTGGCAAAAATGGAGGCATGGGTGGTGGGTAAGTTGGATTGTAACAGATTATTTTATCTTTTGCTTCTGTTGGATGGTTATACTAGCACATGCACTAGGGTAGTACAAATAAATGAGGAATTTCCTGGAACACCATTCATCTCACTGTTGCATTTTTCATGTTGTACGCTAGAATACTTACTCTGTAATAGTGCCCGTCATTTTATTGCAGCCTCCGAATACAATGATTGATTCCAGCTGCTCAGATAATTCCAAAGTACCTGTCTGTGCAGCCATGCAGAAGAACCAGGGCTCCACAAGCCCCAGTTTCTTGCTCTCTGGAGGCAGTGTGGAGGCAGTAGAGTCCGGACCCAGGGAGATGGAGGGTGTGTGCCTTTCATCATTCAACAATGACGTCCCTGGGTTATTAAACACCAGCCAGAAAAATAGCCATTACCTGGACCTTGGGGTTGATGCATGGAAAATAGAGGTGGGTAGAAAATAAAAGATCTTCAGGACTCCATCAGAGAATCCCTTGATGTTGTTTTAGAAGGTTATAAAGTCGTGCTCATTTGTCATCGTTTCACAACGCCTTATGTCAGATTCCTAATGATGATTTTTTTTACAGCAACGGCTTGTCTAATAAGCGAGATTATATGATGGGTTTGCCTGTGATAGCAGGGAATTGGACTCAATCCAGGAGGTGTCTTCCAGTCCTATTTCTTATGTTCCTATGTTTGTCCATAACTCTGTGTTGTTCAAAACAGGGCAAGGCCTTTGACTTGCACAGAACTTGATATTTGGATGTGAGAGGTGCCAGCTGGTTCAACAGGTCATTAAAAGGTCTTGGTCCTATAGTGCCCTGCTGAGATGGCTGACCTGGGGAAAGTTAGCCAGCACTTATGGAGGTTACTTTCACCACAAGCAAGAGTAATCTCATCAAAAGGGTGCATAGGAGGCTGTTAATAGGCGAATGCATTCTAATATGAAAGTACCATGTCCCTGCCACTAGGATCAGTGGCCACAAGTCAGGGTTACAGAGGACCTACACAGTGAACTTCTTGGGGTTTTGGGAAGTGGGATTGAGAGCCTCGTTTGGCTGCTTATTTTCTGATGGAAGAGGGAGGCTGAATTTAATCCTATAGTAGTAAATAGGAAAGACATTTGAAATGAACTAGAGAAGCCAATAAAGCAGGGGTGGCCAACCTGTGGCTCTGGAGCCGCATGCGGCTCTTCAGAGGTTAATATGCGACTCCTTGCATGGGCACTGATGCCAGGGCCGGAGCTAAAGATGCTAACTTTCCAATGTGCTGTGGGGTGCTCACTGCTCAAGCCCCTGCTCTGCCCCAGGTCCTGCTACCCCTTCCCCCGAGCCTGCCATGCCCTCGCTCCTCTCCCCTCCCCACCAGAGCCTCTTGTCCACTGCGAAACAGCTGATTGTGGCGGGCAGGAGGCATAGGGAGGGAGCAGAAGGCGCTGATTGGTGGGGCTGCCGGTGGGGGGGGTAGCAGATGTGGGGGCTGCTGACGTATTACTGTGGCTCTTCGGCAATGTTCATTGGTAAATTCTGGCTCCTTCTCAGGCTTAGGTTGGCCACCCCTGCAATAAACGATAAACCAGTATCCAGTACTGGCACACTTCTTCTTGCAGATCTCTCTTGCTTTTTGCTCACAGGCAGAAAACCTTCTAAGAGCATTGTTGGTAGTGTACAATGGTCATTAACTTTCAACAGTGTCTACTTTTAGAACATTGCTCTTCTTCTAATACGGTCTAATTGGAAAGGAAATACCCAAATCAGACTGAGCTTTCAGCTGTCCAAACTACATACAAATATTTTACATGTTCAGATAAGAAATGAACAATAGATTTTTTTGGACATTAAATTTGTGTGTATTCTATACAGTGTGTATCAGGCTACATCCTTCCCTCATTTACACCTGTGCAAACCCCCAGTGCAGTGAACTGGGTTGCAGAGAATTTAACTCAAAACAGCCATGTGCTTTCACAAATGAAGCAACGTATTATTACAGAGCATGTCACACTTTAAAAAATCTAATTACGTTCTGAAGGCAGTTGGGTGGCACAGGATATAAGGTGGGGGCAGAATTTGGCCCTACAGAGAAAGTCAGTTGTGATAAAACATATTCCAAAGTACCCAGGTTTTTTGTTTTTGTTTTTTTTGGAAAAACAAAAGGATTTTTTTTGTTTATTTAATAAGACAATACACTACAATAGATAGTTGTAGTCTCATAAGGCCTTTTGAAATCTACACACTACTTGAACTTTGATTCCATGTTGTTACCAAAAGCCCTCAATGAAAATAATGAACCTTTATATTGCAGAGCTTGGTATAGTTTATTTTTTTTCTGTCTCTGTAAACAGTTATAATTCATCTGTAATATAAATAATATTATCAAGCCAGAAAATTATTTAAATATAGTTTTCTCAAATTGAAATTGATTTGTTCTTTGTCCTGTTGAAGTTAACAGTGGGATAGTAGCTAGAAAGGTCACATCAGACCATACACATCAAGTTCTAAGGCCTCATCTGATCTTTCTTACCTGATTTCCAAATGTGTTCCTCTGGATTCATTCTGCAAGAGCGTGGTTGATTGCAGTTACTTTGATTAAACTCTGGAGATTGAATGAAACTGTGTCAGATGGGCAGTTATTGGAAAATATTTTCATTACAAGACAATGAAAGTGGGTACAGCCCTCATACTTTGGCTCCCTGGATGGCCATCTCTGTCAATATAATTATGTACATTTTAGTTAAATTAGCATATTGGAGCATACTGTGGTACTTGATGAGGGTTAGGGTAAGACCAAGTTCTGTGTAACTTACTACCAGCATGTATTTAATTTGAAGTATAAAGAGGTTTCAGTAAAAATGGAAAGAATAATTTATATTTTTAGATATTACTTAAGGAAATAAAACAATATTGTTTGTATAATAATTAAATATCCTTACTGCACAAATGTAATTGGATTCCTTATAGCTTTAGGACTTAACATGAAATAGCACTGAACACTTAATCAAAGTGCACTTGTTCATGAAGTGCAGTATAGTTTTGTTTACAATAGACCGGCCCTGAGAATACAAGAATTTTAATTTTCATACCTGAATAGGGGGGGTGTTAAAACTAAAGCCATTTATTCTCTATTCATTCAGTGCATTCTTTTCTCTAGTTGCTGTTTCCTCTTGAGAAAATTGCATGTTATAAGTAATTAGACGAAGTGGAGGCGTAAACCACAAAAAGGATAAAATACCTTTAGAAAAAGTGTTCCTACTCTCCACTGTGTTGAAGCAGAATGTGACATTTTCTCAGCATTTTTAACCTTTAGATGTCAGGACTAAGGATTTCGCTGACACAACATCTTTATTTTCAGAAAAATGTTCACTAAGCATAGTATATATATATTTGTCCTTATATACAGAAGATAACAAAGAATAATTTTGCTCTTCAGTCTTCTAAATCTGCCACAGTCTTTTAAAATGTAGTTCAGTCCACATTTCTACTACAGGCAGGTACTCAACACCAGTTCCCACAACCTCATTTTATCCATCTCATACTGTATGTGTCTCATGGAGCACACAGCTTCAGTGTGTTTGGATGTGCTGAAATGGTGGTGGTTGTATTTAACAGAGACACATACTCCTTTTAAAAATTCCCTTTTCAGTAATAAGCTTTTGTGAGCTACAGCCCGCTTCATTGGATGAAGTGGGTTGTAGCTCATGAAAGCTTATGCTCAAATAAATTGGTTAGTCTCTAAGGTGCGACAAGTACTCCTTTTCTTTTTGCAGATACAGACTAACACGGCTGCTACTCTGAAACTTTTCAGTAAGCTTCACCTCCCCCATGGTTTTTTTTTAAAAGAAGTCTAATACCGTTTGTTAAATCAAATATAATTTAGGTCAAATTGTTGTTAGTTACGTGTATTAGGCATTTCTCTTGTTGGGGATGGGAAAATAGCAATAGGAAATGGTCAACAAATCAGATGTGAATTACAATCCTAATATACCCGTTAAAAGAATAGTGAAGACTAACCAAAACTAGCCAAAGAAATTAACCTGTAAAAGTGTATAATTTTAGTACTCACTCCAACCATTCCATTGCCAAGGAAAGTGTGGGCCCCTTAATGAATGAGGGAGGCAACCTAGTGACAGAGGATGTGGAAAAAGCTAATGTACTCAATGCTTTTTTTGCCTCTGTCTTCACGAACAAGGTCAGCTCCCAGACTGCTGCGCTGGGCATCACAACATGGGGAATAGATGGCCAGCCCTCTGTGGAGAAAGAGGTGGTTAGGGACTATTTAGAAAAGCTGGACATGCACAAGTCCATGGGGCCGGACGAGTTGCATCCGAGAGTGCTAAAGGAACTGGCGGCTGTGATTGCAGAGCCATTGGCCATTATCTTTGAAAACTCGTGGCGAACGGGGGAAGTCGCGGATGACTGGAAAAAGGCTAATGTAGTGCCAATCTTTAAAAAAGGGAAGAAGGAGGATCCTGGGAACTACAGGCCAGTCAGCCTCACTTCAGTCCCCGGAAAAATCATGGAGCAGGTCCTCAAAGAATCAATCCTGAAGCACTTACATGAGAGGAAAGTGATCAGGAACAGTCAGCATGGATTCACCAAGGGAAGGTCATGCCTGACCAATCTAATCGCCTTCTATGATGAGATTACTGGTTCTGTGGATGAAGGGAAAGCAGTGGATGTACTGTATCTTGACTTTAGCAAAGCTTTTGACACGGTCTCCCACAGTATTCTTGTCAGCAAGTTAAAGAAGTATGGGCTGGATGAATGCACTATAAGGTGGGTAGAAAGTTGGCTAGATTGTCGGGCTCAACGGGTAGTGATCAATGGCTCCATGGCTAGTTGGCAGCTGGTGTCAAGTGGAGTGCCCCAGGGGTCGGTCCTGGGGCCAGTTTTGTTCAATATCTTCATAAATGATCTGGAGGATGGTGTGGATTGCACTCTCAGCAAATTTGCGGATGATACTAAACTGGGAGGAGTGGTAGATACGCTGGAGGGCAGGGATAGGATACAGA